TGATTAGATGATAATGGAAGGAATAATGTGTTGTTAAATGTTTCTCGACAAAGATAAACAAGGGCAAGTAATGAAAAGAACCACTTACTGGTGCCTTGCAATCTTCTGTTCAGTTCATTACTAAATATCAGCACCTAAAAAAAAAAGCCAAGTGAAATATATTTAACGATGTTGTTGTTCATAACGATGGAATTTTTTTTATAAGATTACTTACCATTAATTTGGTGTTTACATAATTGTTTATTGATGATTGTCGACCATTAAAATTATCAAAATCAATTGTTCCTGATCTGTGTTCCTTTGAACTCGTATGAATGATTTTACAGGGAAATTCAGGAGATGTGGTTTTCTTTAATGTATCCAACAATAAATTCGTTAACAGAAATTGAGATAAATAATTAACCTGCGAGAAAAAAAAAAAAAAAAAAAAAATTTTTTTTTTTTTTAGATTCCAAACTTTTAATAATCATTCTCTCCTAAAAGGTGGATCCAGTTTTTTTTTACCTGAAAAGTTACTTCAAAGTTGTTTTTGGTTTTCATCAACTCTAGGGGGGCCAAACCTGTAGGATGAGGTGAAAAAAGATCGTTTTTTTTTTAGTTTTCGTTGTCGAAAAGAAGGATTTCACCACATTTAACGTACCAGCATTATTAAATAATAAATGCAATTCACCGACTTCTTTGATAAATTTTTCAGCGAATGATTTCACGCTAGTTAAATCGGCGAGATCCATTTCCCACAATTCAACATTATCGCTATGTCCATTTCTCAATCTGATATGTTCCAAGGTCGCTTCCCCTTTTACTAGATTTCTTACGGGCAAAATCAACTTTTTTGGATTATAGGATGCAATATATGCGGCCAAACTTTTACCTACGCCTAACGTTCCCAAAGGAAAGAATTAATTTAAAAAGAATGAAAAGGGTAGAAAATAAATAAAGAAAGAAAGAAGAGACGACGTTGAGGAAGATTTATCGGTTTACATACCAGCAGTCGCTCCGGTAATAATGACGACTTTTCCATTTAAATCTGGATGCTCAAATGTAGAAAGTTTGGAACCCATTAGGTGATTAGGTAATTTTATACTTTCTATTATCACGAAAAAAAATGAAGAGAATTTTTTTTTAAAAATTTTAAAATTTTGAATTTTTTTATTTTTTTTTTATTTTTTTTTTTTTTTATCAAAAATTCGTCGTCTAAAATGAAAATCAAGCAAATTCAGGGAGGTTATAAATAAATAAATATTTTTTTTTTTTTTTTTTTTTTTTTTTTTTTTTTACAGTATAACAATAAATAAAGAAAAAGGTAAAATAAATAATAAAATATTTTATAAAAAAAAAAAACTATTGAGTTAAAATCGGGATTCTAGATTTGACGATGTCGTTACACAAACAATGTCGAATCATTTATGATTTTTGAATAAGCATATTAGCAAATCGTAACTTTATAAAAGAAAAAGGAAATGACTTGAACACGAGTGTCAAACAAAATTTGTTGGAGCTAAGTTTCCTTCTAGAAAGTTTCTTGGTAAACAATCAAATGAAGTTTAAAAAAATATTAACGGAAACGATCATTGTTGCTTTTTTTTTTATCCCAACAATTTTTGAAACAATTGCTGTTCATTTCCCAACGAAAACAAATAGCCATTGTTAGCACATTGCAGCGAAACGAATACGGGTTAAGCTGAATGTTTCTCGATTTGTAGCATAAAAATAAAGACTTCACGACCAAAAATCAATAATAATCCGGAGATAACGGCATGAATCTTTTTTTTTTTTCTAAAAAAATGATAAGCGCTTATCTGGTCTTTTTATCGTCATGTGATGATAAATCAATGACGTCCCGAGAACTAATCTCGATAATCTTGTATATAATTCCGTAAAATTGGCGTGTAATAATATAATATAGACTTAATTAATTTAATTGTGACATTTTTTTTTCGGTATAATATTGACATACAAATTCCCTGTTTCGAAATCTCGATGAGATGGAGCAGATTCTTTGGTTCCAACTTTTTTATTATTTCTTTTTTTGATTATTTATTTATTTATTTTTTAAAATAAAGCAATTATTCGTGATTATATTATGATGAGGTAGATCATGTAAAACGTGGACAAAAAACACCAATGTAACATGACAGCCCCTTAATTGATCGTGTTTTATTTTTAATTTTTTATCTCCAAAATTATTTATTCAAGGATTGATCGTTTCAAGAAATAAAAATTCAAAAACATATCGGCTTACGTAAATTGAGTTAGACGCATTCTTTTCCATTTTTCCATCCACCTAACCCAAATCAATCATGATTAAAAAAAAACCTCCCTTTACATTATTTTACGATTTCTCATATATAAATATTTGTTGTTGGGCGTAACAATTTTTTTGAATGGGAATAATGGGAATGGATTTAAAAGGTTTAAAAAAATTTGTATTGAGCTGCCGCAGAAAACTGATTTTCCTTACTAAAATAGTTTTTTTTTTTTTTTTTTTTTTTTTTTTTACCTGTATCTTACTTTGTATATTCAGACATGATTGGGTACTTGTTTTTTCCTCAATAGCGTAAAAAGTCGGGGTGTCAAACTAGATTCAGAACCGGCGAGTGGGTGATCGTCGGGTGGTTATCACTTGGAAGTTGTAATAACATTCTTAGTTTTCTGCCCGAATTCACGTTATTGGGCATAGATGTTGACCGCAGCCTCATCTGATCCCGAAATTTGCCTTCTTTCATTTTTCATCTACATACAACATGTGTGTGACGATAATCCAGATCCACCGCAAGACAGGGGTGGCATAATAAAAACCTGTTTATGTTCTCTTTAAGAGAGGATCTTTACAGGTAAGGAAGTGATTAACAGGTGAAATTACATTGCTTGGCATCATGATTTCATAAACCATACATCATTTCCATTCTGACCTTGATCTTCATGAAGCAACCTGGGTATTTTACAGTATACAATATATATATATATATATTTGTTTATTCATACTTACGCGAAAAATGTGATGGTATGTCGTTGAACCTCAATCAATTAATTTCTCTGCCGATTTATTTACTCCATGAAATTTCATTTTAATCATTTTAAAATAAAATAATTCGGACATTCGGAACTTTTCGGTTCCGTGAAACTTAGAATGATTATTGTCGACATCATTTATTCGTTGTAAACCTATTTATTTATTTTTTTTTTTTTGAATTTTGCCGGGTGTTTTAACTATCCGTTTCGATTCAGTAAACATGCGTATTCAGGAGCGTTTTTTAGAAGCGTTCCTTTTTTTTTTTTTTTTGATTACTTCGACTTGGATCATCCAAATTTCTTACTCCTTTCAATTGATTTTGTGACTTTCAAATGGTGTGATACGTGAACCTTCAGAAATAAATAGTTCAAATATCAATATAATTTATACAATGCACTGTCGTGCGAATTTATGAAACCTTACAGTGAATTAAATATCGTAAAATCGGCGATTTCTCACGCCAAAAAAAAAAAAGATTATAATTGCGACAATAAATTAATCAATAAATAAAAAATGATAGGTTGGCACAGTTGGTATATTAAATAAATTAAATTGATACGTCTGACGGAAACGCGCAGCAAATCGCAACACGCCCGGTGCATTTAAAGAGAGTTAACCGCAAAAACAAGTATAATAAGTGTGAAGCTCTTGTATGTGAGAACTTTGTTAACGTCGTCTCCTTCCATTAAATAAAACCCGAATATACCATTATACCATTATATCATACGTGTATGAATAAAATGAAATTTCTTATAAAATGATATATATGCTTCATTGAGAAAAGTTCCTCAAGTTTATTAATTATTAAGTTACGGATATAAAAAAATCTAAAAATCTAGAAACAGCAGGCGTTTGCCTATAAAGAAAACAACCGCTGAAACTTGCCCATACCAATCGGGAGGAACTCCCATCATATTTTTGTTAATAACAGCAAGAACTAGATGTGATGCTACGATATGAGAAGTCATTAAAATGTATAACAACACAAAGGAGCAACAATTGTTTAAACAATTGGATATACATGACCAGCATGCCGTGTAACATAACAGTGATATTACCATTACTATCACCGTGATCGATATGATTAACGTATTGTTCCGATCTGATGGTTTAAGTAGCGCGATTTCAAACCCTATCCAACCAGCAAGGTAAAGGATGATTGTCATCGCGAATCCGATCAGGCGGTATTTCGACTCCGTTTCATCTCCTATCTTGGTAACATAACAATCGTTAATTAACTTGAGACTCCATGGTGTGAGTTGTCCAAAGGCCATAAATATTGACATCCATTCTCCCTTACAACGGATGCATGTATAGATGACCGGTCCTACTGTCATGGCAGCCGAGAATGCCATCATTGATGGTTTTTGTCTTTTGTAAGGTTTACACCACTTTGTTGGTGAGAACAAGGGACAATTCACGTATGTTAAGATCATGGAGACGAGGGTCGACGCCCAACAGACTATCCCGAAATATCCATATGGCAATCCATAGCACGCCGCATCATGTTTTAGGTTGTCGTAGAGTTTTAGAACGTCTGGGCTTATTTCTAAACAAAAGAAAAAAAGAAATGTTACAAGGGTTTCGACGTTTAAACATTTGAGCAATTTAATATCAAAGCTTCAAGCCCACCATCCATTCTTTGTTCAAAGATATCGTTGACCCTGACTTTTCAGATGTTTGAATAGTCAATCGATGCGTCTTTATGAGAATTTAATGAAGTTCTTTATTGTCGCGAGTAAATTGAGGAATTGATTTCTGAAAATGATTGGCAGGGTTCTTCTTTACTCTTTACAATTTTTGGGACGTGAAATTTTGGGATTAGATATGATTTATTTCTAGACAGTATTTTTTTTTTTTTTACTATTCAATTTAATTACGATCGATGGCAAATTGTTATATAAAGCAGGAATAACTTTTTTGAAAATACTTTAGAAATTTTTTTTTTTTTTTTTTATGAATCCCTTCTCTCATTATTATTACTTAATAGGAATTAATTTGCTGTAACCTAATTTGTACATCAGATTTTGACCTAATTAAGTAAATCTTAATTTATCTAAAATGTATTAAATGATCATCGAATGAAATACAAAAAAAAAACATAACCAGACGTGAATCGTGCGTGTCTGTGTGAACTACTATAAACATGTGTATAATAAAGGACTGAAAAAAGCGTACCATCCACGAATCTTTCAAAGCGAGCATAACAATTGGTACAAAATATATACATACATATATATTTGTTTGTATAAAAATGGATTTTCGTGAAGATTTTATCGTTTTGTTATTTAGCTAAAAGAAAAGAATGCCGAAAAGCTTGTGTGATGTCGCTAAGCTTATTTAATACGTCTTTGATATAAAATATATGTTGATCATACTAACCAATATTTTCTTTTTTTGGTTAGATTAATGACTAAGAAATGGTTTAGTCTTTTCTTCGTTTTTATATATATTTAGATGCTACACTTATCAGTCAGGGAAGAGTGTCGATCGTAGATCATTTCTATAGTACTAGAAAGTTTGTGTAACCATAATCGAAAATTTCACATTATAATGAACCATCAAAAATTCCAACATTTCGTGTTACATAAATTAGAAAAATGGTAAAGCATCGTGTATTCTATCAATTTCTTTACTCACTTTCTATTTTAATAACCGTCATTTCTTTTTTATATTTGGCGGAAAACTCGTACTAAAAACCAAATTTTTTTCAAGATCCTTTTGAAGGTAGAAAGAAATGTATATTTTAACAACAGAAATATGTGTAATTTTACGCAAATAAAAAGTTTTTTAAGTATATAAATATAGTTATTTGAACAGTTTTTGTGTAAAATGCGAAAATTGATTTTTATATATAAATTTCTTATTAAAACCTGTAACTGCTATTTATTATTATAAAATAAACTCAATATTTTCAACATTTTTATTACTCTACGTAATAATATTGATAATAAAAATTTACAAAAACAATATATTACTCATTCTTGTATTTTGTCTTCTGTTTGTTTTCCTTTTCTTTTTTCATAATTCCATGCATCTCTAATCTTTTTCTTTGTCCAACCATCCCAATAAATTAGTAGAATTTCCAATACTGAATCAATAGTTGCATCAGGTGGTGTTGCGTCAAATGCAAATAAAGTTTCTAAAATTACCTTTTCCTCTTTTTGATGGATAATGCTATTTGGCTTTTTTAAGAGTGAGTTCTTGTTCAATAGCGAAAATATTTGAATTATATGCTGTTGAACTTTCAATTTGTGGATCATTAATAAAATAAGTGTGCTTTTTTGTGCTTTTGTAACTTTTAATAAGTCTGTAACTTTTGTAGTAATAATACCTTTGCACATCTACCTTTAGTATTAATTGTTTCTAAGCGTAAAATCTCTTGCTAAAAGATTTTATCTAGGCATATTATACCATCATTATAACACCTAGACAGTTTCTCAAATCCTTCTGAGATTAATTGATCACAATTTTGAAAAATTAAATGCTATGTTCCATCTTTCATTTTAAATACTTCAAGTATTTGTTCTATTAATTTCTATAATGTTTTTCAGCATCAATTAACTGCCTGTATACCTGTAGATAATACTATATCACCAAGAAATTCATCAAGTAAAAGGTTTATTCTTTTCTTTACTGATTGTGCAGCTTTTATTTGAAGTTTTAAATTTTCTTTACTTATGACATTTCTAGTAATATTCTGTTTTATGAACTTTACACCAAATATTTCTAAGGCTTTATCAAAGATGAAATAATATCTATCTCATGTTAAATTAATAGAACCTGCATATTTTAATAAAGTTAAAATATATGGATACTTAGCCAAAATTGCAAGAAAATGAACTGTTGATCAGGTATAATTTGACTTTTCAGCAATAGGAAAAAGAGAAGCAAATGCAGATAAACACTATATTTGTAATTCAGCATTTTCTGTTCTAATATCTGCTTAGTATTTTTTTCAGATTTCAGCCTAGTGGTAAAAATGAAATCATGTTTTTAACAAAATTTTTTCTGAATTCATTATAGCTTCTAGTTCTAAATTATTCTTTGACATGTAAATTTGAATAGCACTTCTAATGGCAACCTAAATTAAATTTAAGATGCGATATGTAGACTAATAGTCAATTACTTTTTCAAGTTTATCTAAAAAATTATACCAAGTTTTGTCGCCATATTATAAATTCCATATTCTGAAAAAATTATAAGTAATATACTGCATATATCTTTGCTTGTATGCCACTATTCTAGAAGTGGTTATATTCTAGAATTACTTTAATAGTATTTAAGAACTCTCTGAAAAATAGCTTTATTACATACTACTTCAATTTCTGCTGAATTATCATTTATTTGCAAATCGTTAAAATATTGATAATATGCAGCATTTATGTTTGCATTCTTATTTGAATCATTTTCTACTTCTAGTATTACTATATATGTTAAAGAATAATACGACTCACTATTAAAATAGTTTATTATTTTATTATTAATAATTTCAGCATCATATTCAGAAGAAAACTAAATTAGAAGATTATCTTTAATTTAGCAGTTGAGTAATTCTTTAAAAATTGAATTGAAAGTCAACAGAACTTCTTTTGCCTTTAAATTTTCACTAAAAAGTTTTGCATTTTTATCTAATTGAATTTCATCATTAGGAATTGAACTTAGATTGATAGGTAATTGATACTGAAATAAAAGACATAGTATAACGTGAGAACTATTGCGAGTTGTGTTATAAATATTTCTGTAAGTAAATACTTTCTCTTTGAAATCTATATTATCTATGACATATACATTCTAAATATTAGGTTTCTGCCAAATACGTAATTTAGAATCAACTGATTTCATACATTTAATTTTAAAAACTCTTTTATGTTTTCTAGTGATTCCTGCTGCATTAGCTGATACTAAAAAATTATGAAGACTTGAAAGTAATCGAGATTTTTAACATAAACTAGAAATCATTTTAGTAAGCCATATTTTTACACTCTTAAACCCACTGAAAATAATTATAGAACAAATAAAAATTATAATTTTTTGAATTTTATTATTATTAATTGATTGACAATTATAATTATTATCATTATAAAGTCGCTCCTTTTTTTTGATTTGCATATTGTCTTTTTTTTTAAACAAAATCTGAATAATGCTATTCAATAATTCATATAATTTTAATGGCCAATACTAAACTATATTCTTCTAATGAGTTAGATTCTTTTAATGCCTGTTTTTACTATAAGAATTGTTTTCAATTTTTAAAAAAGTCAAGTCCTATTTGTAATCCAATTTTTTGAAAATCATTATCCTAAAAATTATAACATAGATCTTCTAATTTTATTTAGTGTAGTCTAAAAAAAACTTTAATACCAAATAAACTATATGATATTGATATTGTTGAATCTGACAAATTGGTATTATTTTCAGAAGAGACAGGTAGTAGAGTATAATTTAATAATTACTCAATTATTGTTGTTAAACGTGTTAGAATATTTTTTTTAATAAATCATTATTAGAGTAACTAAGATTAATAATCCAATTGCCTATTAATTGTAAAACTATATTAGTGTTCTTGTTATAATTGCATTGCAATGCTGGTTTTCCTTTTCCTGATTTTACATATAAATATTCACCATGTTTTTCATAACAATTACAACATACATATTGTAATTTTTATTATAATTTCACATTTATAATAGTCAGTTTGTTTATTTCTAATACAGAACATGATTTTTAGCCAATATATGGTATATGCAAATTTTTACTTTCAAAAGAAACTGAATGTTTATAACAAAATTTTTTACGGCTAAAAAAATAAAAATTGTGTCTACAAAATAAGCAACGTTTTTGATATAAATAACTATGTGTAGTATCATATTCTTTTTTTGCACTTTTTTATAAAAGCAATTTTGATCAAATATAAAATATTCTCAATATACTTTAAGATTCTCTAATTCTTTAGTTTCACAAACTGCATTGTCATCAAGTTACCATATGTTAACTAATTATGCAAATCTTTGTAAATTTTTAACTTCACCACATCTTTAAATTGATCTATTTATTATGTTTATTAATACATACAGAGTATAGATACCTGCCAAAACCTCCTCAAAATAATTTCATCATACCTTTTTCTATATTTTTAATATAGTTTCGACAGTTTTAACTTTTGTCATATCGAATGGATTTCGTTGTATCCCTTATTATAATTTTAATATAGTTTCATCTAAGGTTTGACTATTATTTAGGAGTTTCGTCTCTCATCTATAATACAGAGTCAAATTTGAACCACTAGTTTATAGTATTATTATTTCATCCTCTACTTCTATACTTCCACTTATTATAGTTAATACAGAACCAGTATTCCAATCAATACTTTTAGAGTTATTATCCACATTATTTAAATCTGAAACAAGCAATTCTCTTGCTTTATTTATAATAATTTCAGTAAATAAACTAGTCAAGTCTTTCTCATTTTCTAATATATTATCAAAGAAGTCATCAATTTCACTTGGTAAACTTGAATTTATTTTTGTCATGGTGAATTAAAGACAAAAGAATATACTAACTTTCATTGAAGATCTTTCTTACATAATAAAAGTTATGTGAAAAAATACTAAAAAGATCATAAAGAAGATTGATAAGATTTACTTTTAGTTTTTAGGTTGAAATATTACATTGCATAAATATTGTATTACATTTGACCTATATTTTTTGTTTTTAACTTACATTTAGGCTGAAATTACGAATTTGACCAGAATTAAAATTTAAATATTATTGATTTTAACTGATTAAATTAATTTTATCTAATTTTAAACTTTATATATATGTTATATATTTGAAGGAGATACTACATTAAAAATTTTATTATGTCAATCATAATAAAAAATTTTTGCCTAAAACATTTACAACATTTTTCTTGACTGTTATATTTATTGCTAATTGTATATTGATTATTTAATATTTAATACTTATTGCTAGTTGCTCGTTGCAATTAGTTTTAACAGACATCAGTTTAATATATAGTGATTTTTTTTGTTGTGTAATATATAAAATGAATAAAAATTATAAAAAAAAATCACTATTGTTGTTTATTAAATTTCATAAATTAAGCTAACTAAAAAAAAAGTTTAATCTTATTGAGTTAGTTATATATTATGATAATTCTTTTCATTTAAGTGAAAAGGAAAAAAAAGTATGATTAGATTAAATTAATTAAATATATATATATATATAAGAAAAGAAATATTATTTCCTATGACACATTTCAAACTGTTTTACTGACTAAAATGAATTTTTTTCTGATTAAAAAGATAAGAGAATATTAAATGCGTTAGTCTAAAGTTATTGCGATCCTTTTTCTAATTGATTTGTGAATTAATGATTATGAAAGAAAAAATGAAGTGTAGTGTATATTTTCTTAAAAAGAAAAAAAATGCAATAAATTGTTATTATTTTTTGCCTTAGAAAAAAAAAGAGTCTAATTAGTTTTTTAATTATAATAATTATTAATAAATAAAAAAAAGAAATGGTTCTGTCTCTTTTTTTTCTTTTTAGAATTTTAGAATTATTAGAAAAAAAAAAACATTATTATTTAAATAAAAAATAAAATAACTCAAATCCATTGATTAAAATGTTTGTGAAAATTCACTAATTAGTATGATTTATTTAGTCACGAAAAAAGACAATAATGCCTATATCAGCATAGTGGATATGCTTAATTATATCACAATTTGCTGATCTTTTTATCAATTTTTTACCAATCATTATTTTATTTTATCACATATAAAAAATGCTGTAAATCAATTAATTTTTTAAGTTAATTAGCTCTGATTGTAAAATTATACATAATAATATATGATAATATTTTACAAGTTGCTTTATATAATTATAAAAAAATAAAATACTGAATTTGATCGAAAAATAATTATTATTGAATAAGTTTTATTAGAAGTATCATTTTGTAATTGCATAAAAAAAAGTGCCAAAATCAATGGATGTATTCACAAATTCAATTAGATTAGATTGGATTGGATTTTCTAATCTATTTAGATTAGATTAGATTTTCATATAATCCAATCCATGTTAACAATTAATTGGATCAGATTATGGATTTTTGTATAACATTATAAAAAAAGAGTTAACGTTATTTAAATTAAATAAAAATTTGAACAATGAATATTCAAAAATATATTGTAATTCTTTCACTTATATATTTAATTTTTTTAAACCAAATTAACTCTTCTTCTGAAGAACTGATGATAACATTGATTTATCAATCTTTTATGAATGTATAAGTGTTATTGAAAGAAATAGTTCTTTAAAAATAAGTTATAGGTGAGCAAGAAGGACACGTAATATTTGTTGGTTTAATAACATATATAGTGGGATATCACCATATAATATAATTATATTTATATGATGATATTCTACTTATTCTAGATTATATGATGGTAATATAATTTGAGTACTACCATATGATATAAATACCATCATATAATCTGGATATCACCATATGATTTAAATACCATCATATAATCTGAGTACTACTATATGATCTAAATAATATAATCTAATTATCATTATATAATCTATTTATTTCACATATTATGTATCTTTTTTATACTTTAGCTATCCTTTTAAATCTTTCTTGCTATCTGTATTTTTTACCACTATATAATCTAACTATTACTCACCATTTAATCTAACTACTACTATATAATCTAAATACCACACTTTTCTTCTTATTTCTGAGTTATTTATATACTAAATTCTATAATAGAGTTATTAGTCCTCTGTAGCTATTTGGATATCTGATTTTATGTTGAGAATGCTGACCTCCTACGCTTGAATGGATGCTAGTTTCTATGTTAAAGTGCTTATCCTTTATGCTTATTTGGTTGTCTTTTTTAATCTTAAAATATGGTAAAAAAATATTATATCAGGTGACGTAGTAGATTTATGATTAATTTTAACTAATCTTTTGATATGTGATTTGAGGATCTAGCTCAGCACTATGATGGTGACTTAATAGTACTGTGGTAATATTATAGAACTATTATAGAACTATTAAAGAACTAGTAAAAAACTAGAGAGATTTTATTAGTTCATCAATTTTAGACTACTTGTATACTAGCTTAAATGCTGAGTTATTATGTTCAAAAATCTGGCTGAATTTATATGCTGGCTGATTTATATTGTGCCTTACTGCAACAGTCACGTGATTCTGTTATAGTACTGAATGCCTTTCATAGTTACGGACTAGTGATAAGAATATTCTTAAAACATTTCTAGAATTTACAAAAAAAAAATAATGGTCATGCTTTTCTCAAAACTAGTAAAGAAAATTTTGAATGATATGGTCTAAAAGCTGGTCTTGCTATAATAGAACAACAAATTACATTAGATGGCTTATATAATATTACTGGCTAAGTTTAATTCTACTTTTTGACTATCTATTTGCCATTAGGAGTGGAAGCTAAAGTATTATACTATAAAAATGTGATTTTATATTTGCCATGTGGAGACATGATCTGTTCTAGTTTTCTAAGTTATTGGGTCAACTAGGATAGGAACTAGAATGGGTTTTGATATGAAAAAAGAGCTTCTTTTTTTAATTTAACTTATTCTTTTATATTATGTTCTAGTTGTCTTAGTTATCCTAGTAAAAATAAAAATTCAGAAAAAAAAATTTAATTCATCCTATGCTATATGTATAATATACAGTATGTATGTTTTTGTATACTACAGACCCCCGCCAAAAGTCTCTGAACGCTATCTTTCAGGGGCTATTTCATACCGATTACGTTGCGTGACTGCATAATACTTCGGTCATGTGATGTTCAGACCTTTGTTTACTTGAATCAAACCAAATAAATGCGTGTTTGGTTTGTTTATTTTGATTTT